GGCACTGCACGCGCTCGGTCGGCCGCCCTTGGTTCCCCCACCCCACCCGCCGCCGCTCCCGCCCATTTCCGCCGAGAGCCGGCCTCTCCCCCCTCACGGCTTCCCTCTTTTCTGACTGGGTGAGAGACCCCGAAGGCGGCCGGGCTCGGGGGGGGGGGGTCTTCAGAATAAAGAGGGAAGTGCCTCTGCCCATGGGCAAAGCGCTTCCCTTTTTGGAAAGGAAGAAGAGAACCTCTCTCTTTCTCACACACACACACATAAAACAAGGCTGTTTTGCCTAGCCTCGTCGCCTCAATGGGGATTAGAGGAGCCAGTGGCTCCCAAAATTGCATGGATCCAAGTGGACCTACTCTAGTCGTGACTTACTTTTGCATAAGTGGCGACCAGAGTAGGCCCGTTTCAATGGGGAGCTCGCCAAATTCCCATTCACTTAAATGGGGGCCGCTGTGTAGTGCCTGGAGTTTCATCTTCCCTGAAGGTGGTGAAAGGGGCTTCGAGTGTGTCAGCAGAGCTGAAGCCGATGCCCTCAAGAGGCCAGAATCCACGAGGAGGAGCCTGGACTCCTAGGAAAGTCACCCAGGGCAAAAAGAAGGGTTACAACTGAGATACCAGAGTAAGAGGCAACCCACTCTTCAAGGCAGCTACTGGGCAGCAGTGGGAGCTGGAGGAGGCAACAACAGTGGGGACACAAGCTTTCATCAATACTACGCAAAAGGTGGCCATAATAAACCTCTGCTGAACTTCCCTTACCATGAAAATCCTATTACTGTTTCCTCCCCAAAATATGACAGGGTCTTATATTAATTTTTGCTGCAAAAAAACCACATTAGGGCTTATTTACAGGGGATTTTTTTTCCATGTACAACAATATACATTTATTCAAATACAGTCATGTCATCTGGTTGCTGCACCATGATGGAGGGTGGGGTTTCACTTAACCGGCTTATTTTTGGGGTACGGCTTATATTACGAACATCCTTAAAAATCCTACTTGGTCTTATTTTTGGGGAAACGGACAGTCCAAAATGAAACATGAGATTCCCAGATCATAAAGGACTCAAATCAACTACTGGGGAAGAGCAATGGACAACTACAAATAGCTCTGTGGCCAGTGATGCAACTAGATTAAACCTGGAAGGATGTCTAGTGACTGATGTGCACAGAAGGAAAAGGAAAGTCTGGTGCTGCACAACACCTACAACTGGAACATGGAGCATGAATAAAGGTAAACTGGAAACCATAAAGCCAAAAAAAATGGAACAGATAATTATATATTCCAATTCTATGTGCTGTGCAGTATCAGATTTTCCTTTTCCTTCTGTGCATATTGCACTGCTTGGTGTCAGTGAACTTTGTGTCCAGCTTGGGCATGACAAAGGTCAGGCTGGAACACTATATGTTGTGTCCTTGCTGGGAAATAGGTCGCCCCAGATCTTGCCACAAGTGGTTGAAAATGTGAGCTATATGCTCATGGGGTCACATCCTATACACCTGCATGGCAAAAATTAACACAGACAAGTCCATGAAAGCTCATATTAAAATGTAGCGGTTAATCCCTCTGCCGGTATTATGACCCTTCACCTGTCCGAGAGCTTTCTAGTGTCAGTTTGCTCACTTGCGAGAGGAATCTCCCTGGGTTTGTGTGCAATATGTGGTTGTCATGAGCACTTCCACATATTTAGTGGGAGACTGGGGGTCTGAGTCTATTCCACTGGCACTGGATACTAAAATATACAATTGGATAGTGTCCAGAATTAGCAGTGATTACCCACATCTGATGTCTTAACTATACCTCTGTGATGTACAGTATATTGAAAAAAATTGTTTATCAAAACTGCTATACCACATCTTTCTATTTTGAAAGGCTGTTGGTAATACTTATTAGAACAAAAAAAAAGTAAGAAGAGAATAACCAGTTTATTTTTTTTTAAGAGGCAGCATTTAAAATGTATGTTCACGAGAATATCAATACAGTACCAACGGGCTAAATATTGCTGGAAAGGAAAGATCTTCACCAGATTATGAAAAACCATCACAGAGAAGTTGAGGCAGACCAGCTTTGGCACAGCAAATCATAACACAATAATCAATGATGCATATGCTACCCTGACCAGATTTGTCCTCTATTGAAACAAGCAGAGATGACAAGACTAGTCTAAGCTGGGGGAAAACACTCTTTGTGAAAAATGCTCATTATCCAATAATAGAGTTGTGTCCAAAAGAATCCAAAGTTGCAAAAAATGGGTTTTAAGGAGAATGCAACCCCATCCAAGACAGGCTAAACTACTCCTAGACTGTTAGTTCTGCTAGTGAGAGCAACACTGTCTATGTCCATTTTCATTTTTAAAATGTTCCCATTCTGTGTAATAATACCCATTATTGCATCTGAAGACAAGGATGGGAGATACTTTCTCTAAACATTCAGAAACATAAGTCAGCTTCAACTTCACACATATTTTCACCAGTTTAGCCACCACAGAGCTGGGGGTGGTACAGGAGAAACGCAAATGTATCAAAATTCATGGCCAGGCGTATAAGAAAATTCATGGCAAATTTCAGGTTTTAGATTTCATCTCTCATGATGTAGATTAGGAACTTTCTCCCAATCTTGTTAGACAAAAGGTTGCAAGTCACTTGATACACTTCCCTGTGGTCCCGTATCACACAGTTCTGACACATATAATTACCTGGTACTTTGATATATTGCATGTTTATCAGGAGATGCTGCACAACAGTAATGTGATATACTCCTCTCACTCCACACACAGCTTTTGATTTTATTCTCAAATGTCCTCATATGGGGTGTGCCCTGTTTTTGTGTGACTCAAGAACAGAGACAGAGAAAAGCAGGGCATAATCCGTGCAAGAAAAGTTGAAATAAAATTTTGCCTTAAAGCTATGCAAGGCCATTGCAGCCAAATTAAAAGTATTACCCAGTGGCTGGGGGAATGCAGTCTTCGGTTTGAAGCTTTGCTTGAGTACACATTATTGAGTACTGATCCTTATGGAGCCAAAATGGCAGAAGACAGAGGTATTGTGATAATCCCATGATTTGCCAAAGCACCTCCCCCCCCCAAAAAAAACACACAAAACTTTGGGGGAAATCTCAGAAGTGTAGGACAGGACAACTCAGTGAAATGTGAGCATATTCATTGGGTAAAGAACATCTGCTGGCAGGTAACATTAGGAGAGGATCCATGGAGTACAATATCTTGGAGAACAGCACTGACTGGCAACCTGAATAGTAACACTTCAAGCTTCAACACTTTGATGCTGATCCCACCGGTCTATTCTTTTACCAGCCTCAAGTCATGCTTCAGTATTTTGGTAGCCTCTCTGGCTTAGGAATTGGGAGAAGGCAGAACATATTGGCAACATCACCTATCAAGGCTCCAAACAACTATCTCCCAGCAATTTTGTGCAATGTTAAACACTTCCTAGAAGACAGGAATTCTGCCATGCTGAAAGATGCAACATTTGCATTCCACTGACAGCCAGTGCCTGGGGCACTTGAGAGGTTGCTGAACTGTAACTCCCTAGCGTAACACTGGCCATATGAGCTGATGGAGCTGATGGGGATTCCGATGTCATGTGAATAGCCATTAGTTCTCCACTCCTAAAATATTCAAGTCCAAGGAAAGAAATTACAATGAAGAACCAGCCCCAGTAGCCAATAGGAAAGTACATATCCTAGAATACATTTGGTGAGAACGGTAGTCTGTCTCCAGTTCCTCAGAAGTGCAAACACAGGGTTTTTATTTGTTGTCCCGTTGGGAAGAGAATTATCCAGTGAGGGCTTTTGGGAGTGGAGCGCTCCACAACATGAAGAGGGTCCTTCATTCTGCAACAACGGTTCGTGGTCATAAAGCAGTTGAGCAGAGAACCAATAGAGAACTGGAGAGGAGGAGCCCAAAAAACGAGTAAGGACCTATAAATGAGTAAAGGAAGAGTTAGTTCCCCAACCATGTGCCCAAGACTCTTCAAAATAATTCCAGGTGTTATCTTCACTCACTAAACTTTGAACACAAATATGCAGAAAAGGGGGAGGGTTAAGGTTGAGTCACTTTGGTGAAGCTTCCGGATTTGCAGAAGTAGAAAATAACTTGGGAGACAAGAGGGAATGCAAAGTGGGGAGGTATTCCCAAAATCTGTCCAACAAGGACTGAGCATGATGAGTGGCCATGAGAAACTCACTGTTTGGGGATACTGGAAAACGAAGGGTAGGGGTAAAGGAATAGAATATCTAGATAGAGGACATGATTCACTGGCAGGCAGCTGCACCAAGAGTGCTCTATGTCAGTGGTCCCCAACCTTGGGCCTCCAGATGTTCTTAGACTACAACTCCCAGAAGCCTTCACCACCACCTCTGCTGGCAAGGATTTCTGGGAGTTGAAGTCCAAGAACATCTGGAGTTTGGGGACCACTGCTCTATGCTACAACATCTGTCCCAAGTACTTCTTGTGAGCTCGGGTCCAGAAATCTAATAGTTTTTTTTTAAGTACCGCAAGACTTAAAAGTAACTGCCAGAGAGGACTATCCAGTGAGGGAAACCACAAAAAGCTGAATATTAACCTAACAGGGATACTCATATGAGACCTGAACATCTTAAGTAAGGTCAACCAGCCCACATTTGAAGAGAAGGTGCCAGGACAATGCTCTGTAACCACAAACACTTTTTAGTACCTTTCCCCTTGGTTTGTGGCTGCTGCAAGGCTAAAAGTAGAGTAACTGAAAATAGAAAGTCCTTGCATTTGCAGGATTGAACAAATAGTTTAAAATAGGCTATCTCTGCCGTTCCACAGCCCTTCCTCAAGACACATCTTGTTCTATGAAAATTCTGTCTCTGTCTCAGGCAACCACCCCCTACACCAGCCTTCTGCAATCTATACCATTACAGATCTGCTAGCTACAATCTATGTCCTCTCTGCTAATTGGAGATGGTGTAAACAGGCAGGAAATACAGCTATCTAAGAAACTGCCTATAATTACAGACCAAAAATGGGCACGTCCAAAAATCACAAAATATGTTCTGGATTAATTGATAGTTATGGGCATCAAATGTATGCATAATGGGCATCAAATGTATGCATTTTTAAAAAATCACTCAAGACTTTTTTGTTCTTTTTAATATGCATAAGTTTTGTCTGAATGTGCATGCACATCATTGTCTTAGCTTTCCAGACAGTTGTGTTCAAATTTCTGTCTTCAAGTCACATTTCCCATCTTGACGTCTCTACCAAGAATCCACTGTGCTTTGTAGAAGACTGTGGGATGCATACTCTAAAATGCACACACAGTTCACATAAAAAATGGAGAGTTGTGATCAAATGACATAGGTGGCAGCACTAGAGATCAAGATGTTTATTTTGTCATAGCTTTTAGTGAATTGATCAACTTAACCTGACACATAAGATGAAGTGGACTCCACTCTACAAAAGCTTATGCCATAATAAGTCTCAGAGATTATTCATGCCTACACTGTTTTGGATGAAACAAATCAGCAAGGCTAACCTGTCTGGAGGTTGCCAGTTTAAGGCCTCGCTGCTGATTAGGTTGGACTGATGTTGCTTTCCTTAGACTGAAATGCAACCCAAACAACCCTGAACACATTGTCTACAGCCATGTGTTGCTGATGAGCAAGAGTGGTAGACAAACCGTCTGGTGGGGAACTCTGAGCTTGTCTATATCCTCTCAAAAAAGCAGGCTGGATCAGGCTAAACAAGGTTGCTAGACAATCTGGTATGCCATTTGGTGCAAACCCCACATCCAAAGGACATAAGGATCTCATGTGACCTTTTTGATCCACAGCAGTCTGCTGTCAATTTGCCAATATTGTGAAGTAGCTTAAGAAGAGAGCCACTTCACAATATTGGCAAATTAAACACTTCCTTGGCTCCCTGGAAGGGAAGTGGCTCAGTGGAAATGGACAAACATTTTTGTAAGTATATTGCTTACAAAATCACTTAACAAAAATAAAAGCCAAAGCAAGAGGAGACTGAAGAGGACAAGGAGAGAGGGTTTTTCTTTCCCTTTTTCTTAAAGATCTGGTCAAGTGCCTGCTCAACAGCTGAATTGGGCAGGTTCTCAACTAGACTTTTAAGAGAAAAGTGCTTAATTTGACAATATCCTAAAGTGGCTCTCTTCTCAAACTTCTTCACAATACTGTACAGTGGTGCCTCGCTTGACAACGTTAATTCATTCCAACGAAATCAAACGTTGTCAAACAAAATAAATAAACCCACTGAAATGCATTGAAAACTGTTCAATGTGTTCCAATGGGCTGAATATCTGCTCGTCCAGCGAAGATCCTCCATTTGGCGGCCATTTTCTGGTGCCTGTTAAGCGAAAAATCAGTCCTAAAAACAGCAGGGAGCCATTTTTATCAGCCGGCGGCCATTTTGAAACCCGACGATCAACTGTTTGCTGATCGTTGTAAAGTGAAAATCGGTTCCCGAAGCAGGGAACCAATCATCATGAAATGAAAAAAAAAAAAACCATTTAAGCCATCGTTTTGCAATCACAAAAACTTCAACGTTAAGCAGATTCGTCATTATATGGGATAATCGTCCAGCGGGGCACGACTGTACTGGCAAATTGAAAGAAGAAAGCTTGCTTTGGATAGTTTCCATCACATTTTGGTGTGATCTTACTCAAACCAAAAAAGTAGAAGTCCTTGGCTAGGGGCCAGAAAGGTGCTCTTTGGGACTGAATGTGCCCATCCCTGCTGCAGACCAAACAGGGGGCTAAACACCCCTGTAGCCAGCCTCTTAGTCTGCTCTTTTCAGTCTTCTCTCTGAAATCAAAGCTCTACCATGCTCTAAAAGATGTTCCAAATGCCTTGGTTGTAAGGACATTGCCCTGTAACTATGTTTATTCTCAGTAAACTCTGGTCAGTGTTTGTAACTCAGCTCCAGACGTGTGCCTTCCCGTCTTGGTCTCCTGCCACAGCCTAGACTTCTGCGAAGCTCAGTGCCAGGCTGAAAGAAGGATCACAGGCAATTTCTGTTAGTCTTTCACTAGGAGAACAAACAGTAACATTTGTTGCCAGTAATCTAGAGGAATTCCCTGCTTCCTCTTTTTTGAAACACTCATCTTCTTTTATTATCTTAAATCACAGAAAAGGAAATAATGGATGGCAACTGGTATTTATTGCCACTGAACAGCTCTTTTCAACGAACAGGTGGTGTTTAGAAATCCTAATAAAATCAACAAAGAGTCTTATTGTAAGTCTTAAGCTGGACATGAAATCCTATTTCAAAATACAGAAGTACTGGACAACATCAGCAATCATTATGTTAGACTACACAGGGAAGCTACTGAAATCCACAAACATCAGCAAAGCTTCAATAAAAAAGGAGAATGTCTAAAACTCAACAAAGCCTGGCTCCCAGCACTGGAAAATACAGCCTGCAAAAAGGTCAACGAATTCTATCCAGCCACAAGGACCAGTGATCACTGCGCACAAAAGACTAGCTAACAATGCCCATCAATCACAGTGACAGATCAGCTCCCCCCTTATCACAACAATACACCCATAACAAAAAACACCCTGATCACCATAATCACCCAATCTCCTGAAAAAGACAAAAAGCTGATCCCACAGCTACAAATACTCAACTATTCCACACACTACAGCAGAACACAGGCAGAGTTCTACAGTAACTCCTGTGCTCTGAGGATCCCAGCAACAGAGACTGGCAAAATATTAGGAAGAAAAGCCTCCAGAACACGGCCAAACAGCCCTAAAAACCTACAACCACCATCGGATGCTGGCCATAAGAGCCTTCGAGAATACAGTCTTATGGTACCTTAAAGACTAACAAGTTTTATTTGGTATCATCTTCTTTAGAAGTCAAGATTGTGGCCTATCCTATTCACTAACAATCCATAGCTTATGCTAAATAAATCTTGATAGTCTTTATGGCAAAACAAGATTCTTTGCTGGTTCTGATTAAATAAGGATACAGATGGCTGCCTCCTCAAACTCACCAGCCACTTGTATCCTTATCTAATCATAGAATCATATAATGAGTTGGATGCACTATAAGGCCATCAAGTCCAACCCTCAGCTCAGTGCAGAAATTCAAATCAAAGTAGATCCGACAGTTGGCCATCCAATTTTCGCTTGAATGCCTCCAATGCTGGAGTTCTCATCACCTCCTGAGGCAACTGGTTCCATTGTCATACTGCTCTAACAGTTAGGAAGGTATTCTGCACTCTGCCATGATGGAGAACAGATCCTGCCTCTCTGTAGCATTCTGCACTCTGGGATGATGGAGAACAGATCCTGCCTCTCTGTATGACTGACTACCTTCCATGTATTTGAAAAGTGCTAACCTATCTCCCCTCAGTCTTCTTTTCTCAAGGCTAAACATGCCCAATTCTTTCAGTCTTTCCTCACAGGGCTTGTTTTCCAGTCTTCCAATCATCCTTGCTGCCCTCCTCTGCACTTGCTCTAGTTTGTTGGCATCTTTTTTCAAATGCGGTGTCCAGAATTGGACACAGTGATCCATACGAGCCTTAACTAAAGGGAGACTATATTTCATGGGATATGGAAAACTACACGTCTGTTAATGCAGCCTAAAATAGCATTTGCCTTTTTTGTAGCCATATCACATGGTTAGCTCATATGCAAGTTGTAATCTACAACAATTCCAACGTCCTTTTTGCTCGTACTATTACGAAGCCATGGACTGCCCCCACCTTTTTTAACTGTTCATTTGTTTTTCCCCCGCAGGCATAGAACTTTGCACTTATCCCAGTTAAATTTCATTCTATTGTTTTCAGCCCAGTGCTCAAGTCTATCAAGACCTTTTTGAATTTTGTTCCTGTCTTGCAAGGTATTATTCCACCCAGCTTTGTGTCATCCACAAATCTGTTAATTATTCCCTGAACTCCCTCATCCAAGTCATTAATAAAAATATTGAAGAGCACCCCACTCATCACCTCCTTCCCGTTTAAGAAGGAACCATTGATTAGTATTGCCTAAGTACAATTCTGTAACCAACTGTGTGGTGGGAGAGCCTAACAGGAAAAGGAATCCCGAAATGGGTGAGAGTTTCTTTAAATAGAAAATTCTAAAGACACACAATTTTTTTAAAAAAGTGGAAAGCAGAAAAAAAGATCAATATGGCTTCACAAAAATGACACATATAAGGAAGGCCAAGAGTACAGAAAGGCAGCAAAGAATTGCAGGAATGCCGTTTGGAAAGCAAAAGCTGAGAATGAGCAAGAATAAGCAATTTTAGAATACTCAACCAAAAACATTTTTCAAGTACATGCATAGTGAAAGACAAGAGTTAGCAAAACAGTGACTCAGCTACTCAATGGGAATGGAAAATGATAACAGATGACAAAAGGCAGAAATGCTCAATTCCTACTTCAGCTCGGTCTTCTCCCAAAAGACACTCTATACTCCCTCCAGGCAAATGTGAAGTAAAAAGGGAGGGGATACGATTAGAGCTTGAGACTGATAATCAAACAGTCAAGGAGTACAGTGGTGCCTCGCATAAAGAGCGCACCGTTTAACGACGAATTCACATAGCGATCTATTTTTTTAGATCGCTAACCCTCCAGGCTGAAGTAAAAAGGGAGGGGATAGGATTAGAGCTTGAGACTGATAATCAAATAGTCAAGGACTACCTTTAAACAAGTTCAGATCTCCAGAGCTGGATGAACTACCTTTAAACAAGTTCAAATCTCCAGAGCTGGATGAACTACTTCCAAAGAACTCTCAGAACTACTCACTGTCTATTACTTTCTTGAAATAATGGAGGATGGGAGGAGGAAGGCTAACATGGGCCCTATCTTCAAAAAGGGCAAAAAGAACTTGGGAACTACAGAATTTGGGACTGATACCAGTCAGCCTGACATCAATCCCAGGGAAAATTCTGGAGCAGATTATAAAGCAGTCACTCTGCAAGAACTTTGAAAACAATGCAGTAATTATCTAGAAGCAACACAGATTTGTCAGAAACAAACCCTACCAGACGAATCTTATCTCATGGTTTGTTCAAGTAGCCTCCTTGGTAGACAATGGACATGCCGTCGATGTAATATATCTTGACTTCAGCAAAGCCTTTGACAAAGTGCCCCATGATATTCTGATTAGGAAGCTAACTAGCCATGGGCTAGACAGCACCAATGTCAGGTGGATAGCTAATAACTCTGGAGATAGCCTGCCTTTGGGACAGGGTTTGCTTTCAAATGAGGCATAAGAAGCATGATTTCTATCTGGTTCCTAAAAGATCAAGAGACTTCCCCCCCCCAACAATCACTTCATGGACAATCTTCACAAAATTCCATGTATCTGAGACACTAGGTATCTAGAAAGGCAACCTATAGTCCTCCCTTCACAAAATTCCATGCATCTGAGACACCGGGTATCTAGAAAGGCAACCTATAGTCCTCCGTCTAGTTTCAAATGATCTCCTCAAGAGATCCATTAAATCTCTGGCAAGAAATTGAACAGGGAGGCAAAGGGTCAGAAAGTGAGAAAATGTTACTCCCACTAAATTTTTACTTTGGCTTTGCTCAACAGTGCCCCCTTGAGGAGTGGCAGATGTCTCTGTCTCTGAGGAAAGATCGCCCTTACCAGGAAATGTTCCTCAAGCTGACTCACAGACCTGAACAAGAACGAACGTAAAGTGTTTTTTCTCCTTCAATTGATTTCACAGCCAGATCCCATTCAGAATCCTGTTGCTTCGCATAGAAAGCTCTACTCAAGCCCACTCCAGTCAGTGGGAATTTGGTGAGCCAACTCCTCTGTAAGTGCCACCGATTCAAATGAGCCTGTTCTAATTGCAACGTACTAAGCTAGGTGACAGGACGTCAGCTACTGTGACGTAAGTCTCTGGCTTTGAAAGACTATATTATCCATGGTAGAGTACAACCCACTGGCCCAAGTTAGCAAATGAATATCTGATTCGTTATTGCTGTGTTCTTACTGTCAGCAATGGAAAGGACTGCTTATGGGATATTCTCCTTCATATGCCAGAATAACTTGGCTGGCTTTAGACCACTTCCTATATGTGTTGTTTATTATTTTCAGGTCCTCTCTGAGCAACTTCCAGGAGCTCCCAGCTGAAGTTTGTCCCCTGCTTAGCGTGTGGGCAACTTCCTGCCTATCAGGATTAGAAACGCTGACCTTCCCTGAGAATCCTTGGCTCAGAATCCACGAAGCTGCCTTCACCTGGAGGAACAACTGGAGGAACCCCCCTCTCAAAAAGCTTCCAGACTTACCTGCACATGCATGCAAAAAGTCCCGAACACCAAGAGAGATGTTGCATGAACCACGTAAACAAAGGCACCGGGAGAAGAAAAACCGGCCGCTGGCCTGTCGGCGTCTGGTCCCTGCGCTCCTCCAGTCCTCTTTCTCACCAGGCCAAGAGTGAGACAATGCCAAGGGTCTGCGGTGAAGTACCACCAGGCTGCCCCGACCCCAAGTGCAACTGCAGGTGCAGCAAGCAAGAAGTTGGGAATCTGTTTGGGCTCAAAGTATCGGAGGAAGCCGACATTCCAGTAAGTGTCCTGAATGTAGGTGTAGAGCACAGGAAAATCCCAGGAGCACCACGGCTGCTTCCCACCATCCAGAGCTGCAACCTGATACCCTTTATCCTTGGCCAGCTGCAAGAGCGGCCCTGGCACAGCATCTTCAGGGCTAATCTTGGGGTTACAAAAATGAAGGTAGGCATAGAGTTGAAACAAAGCAAAAGGTGAGAAAACAAAGGCGGACATCACCACTAAAGAAGCTGCCAATTTTAGGAAGGGACCTACGTTCGACAGCGTATTTGCCCCAGTTCCTGCCTTCATCTGTAGCTGGAAAGCAAAGTGCTTTGTCTGGGAATAGAGGAGGAATCCAGCATTGATGAGCCCATTGGAGCGCACACCGGTGGCTAACGAAAAGAGAAGCGTGCTGGTCCAACGCTGCCCTTTTTCTAGCTTCCACATAGCCGTAAACACTAGAAAGGCAAACATGATTTCCGAATAAGCAGCAGCCATAAAGACGTTAGCAGGGGTCAAGCAAAAGAGGATGGCGGAGAGGAAGGCCCTCCTGCGGCACAGGAGGACCTGGCGGCTGAGCTCGTACAGAGCCCAAGAGGCCAACGCTGAAAAAAGGGCATTGAGAAGAGCTGCCGAAAGGAGCAGGCGGCTCCGGAGATTCAGGACCTCTCGGAAGGGGCTCAGCGCCGTTTCCGCCATCACCCGCAGGCTCAGAGGAAACAGGGGGAAGAAAGCGCAGTTGTGCTCATACACGTAGCCATGCTCGGCGATGAACAGGAAGTGCTCTGCATCCCAGTGGGAGAGGCCCCCCAGGAGCCATTCCAAGAACCAGTCACAGACGCCGGGCTCAGACAGGCGAGGTGGCGAGAACGCGTCCGCCGCATGGTCGGGGATGAGGAGGTTGAAAAGGGCCTGAAGAAGAAGAAGAAAGAGACAGAGCAGAAACCCGTAACTATGACAGGTAATGTGAAAGCGATTCTTCTACTGCGCAGTGCAAGAAGCAGGAAGGTAACACAATTCTTGTCGCACAGCCCTCTGAGATGCATCCTGTGCACTGGGAGAAGGCTGTGACGAGGGATAAAGGCCCGCCACCCAATTAAGCCTCACTGGATTAAAAGCCTATGAAGAGCTCTGCTGGATCGGGCCAATAGTACGTTTCACCCAGCAGCCTGTTTGCCTTATTTATTTACTGCTGAACTCGTGTCCTGACTTTCTCTCCTAAATAGGACTCACAGTGGCTGTTTTTTTTAAATTAAAATTTTAATTAAAATGGTATTTATTTAAATAAAAACAATCTCAACTATAAAAACAGAATTAAATTCAAAGCACAACTCAAAACTGTGAAACAAATTCAAAACGCGTCGCTTAGGGAAGTGCAGCACTTGGTAGGTAATAAGCCCTGGCTCCCTTTTCAGGTGCTAGTCAACTGCCCAAAGCACATACAGTGGTGCCTCACTTGACGAGTATAATCCATTCCAGCGAAATCGCTGTAGAGCGAAATCCTCGTCAAGAGAAATAAAAAAGCCCATTGAAACGCATTGAAAACCACTCAATGCGTTCCAATGGGCTGAATACCTCAGCGTCCAGCGAAGATCCTCCATAGGGCGGCCATTTTCCGAGGCCTATGCAGCGAAAAATCTGTCCTAAAGCACAGCAGGGAGCCATTTTACACAGTGGGCGGCCATTTTGAAACCCAACAATCAGCTGTTTTGATTGTCATAATGCCAAGAATCGGTTCCTGAAGCAGGGAACCGATTGTCGGGAAGCGAATTTTGCCCATTAAAACATCATTTTGCAATCGCAAAAACCTCATCGTCAAGCGGATTTGTCATTTAATGAGGTAATCGTTAAGCGAGGCACCACTGTATGTGTTATAAGGTCTTTTTTCTAGCAGCAGGACGAGAAGCGGGACCGGATCCGACCTAGCCTCCCTCAGTAGGGAAATCCTGAAGGCAGGAGCAGCCAGAAGTCACGGCAACAAAATCAGATGCCTCTTAGAAGCCCAGAATCCAGCCATGAATGTTAAGTCCCTTCTTTCACTACTGAAACTGGTACTCAGTGGCCCATGGTGTTGCCATTTTTAATGTGCCAGTCTTGAATAGGCCCTGAAACCACCTAACAAAAGAAAATGATCCATCAACTAGGCAGACTTAAGGTTTTGAAAGAAATCAAACTATAAAGTCTTTGTACAATCAAACTTTGGCACAAGGGAGAGGAAGCCATTGCATCTAGTGAAATAAAATGCATAGCAGCTGGGCTTTTACAACAAACCATGTCCTTGGCTACAACGACAGCTTTGCTGGCCAGAGAATAAAGTTCCCCTTGCCTTTGCAGCAGCTGACTCACATACAAGACAAGCCACAGGGAGCCAGATGGAGTTCCCCTGCTGGCAGCATCTGTGATTATTGGGAGCGGAGCGGGGCGGGGGGATCACAAGAGTGACCAGTATTAGAACCTCCTCAATGATGTACAACAGGGATGGGTAAAGTGTGGCTCCCAAGGCTGGCAGAGGGTTTATTCTGCAGAAGAAAACCAACTATTAATGTCAAGCAAATTAAAGCAAAAGAAAAAAAGGGGGGAATTTAAAGCAAAGGACAACATTCTGCAACACCTTAAAGATAACAGATTTGTTCCATGACATTTTGAGGCGCAGTAAAACAAATCTGGTACTCTTTGAGATGCCAGAACATTTTGCCCTCTGCTTTTATTTTCCACTTCAATTTGGTCAACATGCTAAAACAGATTAACACAGCTATCTGTTTGGGAAGCAGTTTAAGACTTCTGCATATCCAAATCCTCCATCCATATATTATCTCTCCACATAAAAAGGGAAGAACATGATCGGGATAAAAATAAAGAGAAGGTAGAAACAGTGGTTATTGTGGGTTTTTCAGGCTCTTTGGCCATGTTCTGAAGGTTGTTCTTCCTAACGTTTCGCCAGTCTCTGTGGCTGGGCATCTTCAGAGGACAGAGCCTGAAAAACCCACAACAACCATTAGATCCCGGCCGTGAAAGCCTTCGCAAATACAAGGTAGAAACAGTTCACTGAAAACCTATATAGAAGAGATACAAGGATGATAGACTCCTTTGAAGAGGAATCCTATGAGTCCTGCAGTTCTGGAAAGTAAAGTGAAAGCTGCTCTGAAGGCACTAGGAAAAAAATAAATCACCAGAGGTAGGTAGAATACTGCTAGAACTATTTCACAGCACAGCAACTAAATCTGTCAAAACTCTAAAAAAGAATAAGCCAACAAATATGGAAAACAAAACAATAGCCCACAAACTTGCAAGGTTCAATATACATTCTGATCCCCAAAGAAAGGAAAGGCAAAGGAGTGCAAAAACTATTAAGACCAATACTGTACATTTCTTTTTGTCATGTTCAAATAAAGAAGCTGAATCTTTGGGTCACTGTGATCTGTGGATAGATTAATCATCTTTGTCTAGCGCCTGAGGACTTGCCTGAAGGAGAAGCGTGATGGCTCTACAAAGCACTGCAAACCGAACCACTTCACAGCAACGAGGGTCTCTTCCATTCCTCAGCAGCATCCTGAACACTGATGTGAGCCGACGTTTCACCATTGCCGTTCATGAATGGTGTTCCATTCAGAAACATCCGAATCTGAAATCAGATCACACAATCAATGACATATAGGTTAAAAGTGATGGCATGTTTGTAAATGAGAGGTATTTTATGAACAAAAGAGGCACAGGGGTTAGAACACTGATGTAGGAGCCACCTTTTCAAATTCAAAACCAGACTTCTTATAGTCAAAACTATCTCACATTTTCCATTTAGTTATCATGGATAAAAGCCATTGATATACCTGTCACCCATCAATCTGGCTGCTAGTAATTAAACTCATTAAAGCCACAGACTCTTTTCGGCTAACTCTGTTGTAGTAGCGAGGGCATGGCACTCATCTGCAATAATCCCCAAGGGTTATGTGTGACAGTACAGAGACAGACTACACTCCCTCACCCAGGGACGTTGTAATATACAAGTCCTCTCTCCTTTAATGGGAAGGACAGTGGGAATGTATGCCTCTGTGAAAGAAAGATGGTGTGTATACACACAACTTCATGGAGAAACATCTAGAAACGTCCTTGTGGACAGCACAAAGCATGCCCTTAGATGACGGAAAACTCATTTTGTTAGTAAAAACAACTTAGTAAAAACAATTAAACATGCACCTAAGCATCCTCCAGATATGAGATTCAGAAGAAACAGAAAACCATTAGCTTAAACGAAAAGAGTCCTTGGAAAAAACCTTGAGGCTTAAACAAAATGAAGCAAAATTGAAGCCTAGGAAATGGCTCTTATTTCTAATCAACTGAGTGGTTTTGGCACCAGTTTTTCCCATCTACCCAACCCTTGTTTTCATCCCTTCCTGCCAACAAAACCTTGCAAATCTCGCAGATAAATGGCAAGGTTTTTAAAAAGTCTTTAAAATGGAAATAGGAAACGGTTTTAAGTCCTGCATTCTACAGTAGCTACCGCCAGAGGGTAGCAGGCCCTCACTTAGTTGGTACATTCTCACAGCTAGAACTGCTGTGGTTAGCAAATTATACAAATACTATAGGATTCCTGGATAAAATGTATGGCAGTATATGTACTGAATAAAGCTTAAAATCAACAATTTAGCTAGTTCTATCATTACAGTATTTCTGCAGATTAAGTAAAAACAGTGCAAGTAAACCTCTCTCTGAATTCTTTCCTAAGAGAACTTTGGCTAACTTGATTTAAATCTCATCTGCCACATTCTTTTCATTGAGATAAATTAAGTTTCCTTTCTATTTCTATTCATTTTTATTTCCTCAGCACAAACCTGTCATCCTGTTGTTAAAAGACAGCCTCAACAAAGGAGGTTACCGGTTTAAAAATCTCGGGCTTCACATCTATATTCAATACGCTTAAAAGGAAATACTTTTTTTTGGTGGCAAAGCAAATAAATATGAACAAAAAGGAAATACTATACAGAGGAAATTCATGTCTACAGATCTGAGAAGCAACTTCTTTCCCCTGAAGGTTTTCAGGCTATGTGGAAAATAGCCTGTGTTTTTCTAAAGATGGTTTTTTTTGCCAGATCCATAATGCATGCTGAATGTCTCTATACAGACTTTTAAAAAGAAGAACGGCTTCAGTGCTTGTTTTATTATGTACCGAGGGCATCCTGCGTGCCCCCAAAAACAGAAATACAAGTTAAAACTTTAAAAGCTGCCGGCTGAAATCCTGCTGATTTCAAGGGGGCATAGATCAGTGGTTTGGGTTTTTGGCTGTGGAGCCAGAGGTTGGGAGTTTGATTTTCCCCACTGTGCATCCCAGCAGAGCCATATTGTGTAGCCCCCGGGCAAACTGCAGTCCCAGGGTGCACCCAGAAAAACAACACAAAGAGTGGAAAACCACTTCTAAGTATTCTCTACCCTGGAAAGGGTCACTGCAAGTCAGAATTGATCTGATGAGACATGATTGTTCTAAGTATAAGTGAATCAGGGTCCCTTTGGAGGACTCGTTCTGTTTCATTTTGTACTGGAGGTTAGTGACTATCTTTAAAATTTCGTCTCTGTATGCATTTAACTCACATCAAATCTCATTGTTTTTCTTTAAAGCAATAGATACAGCCCACTTCCTTTCCCACTGCCAAACTTTCAACTACTGATCCAGAAGGATCACACTTTTATGACTGCTTTTAAATTACTGTCCGCTGTTTCACTGCACTGCTTATTTTTGATTACTTGTATTATATACTTTTATCTTGTAAGCTGTTTTAAAATTAAAAATGGGAAGGCAAGCTAAAGATATATTTAAAATAAATAAGGTAATCAAACAGAACAAAGCACAAACATTACTTTAGCTTTCTATATTTAATGTCATAAATTATATCCTCCTGTGACCCAGGTACATTAACAGTGCACTTCATCCAAGTCTACTGTACTTAAAAACAATAGTAGCTGGTTTATTATGGGCATATCCAGCTACCATTTGCTATTGTACCTTCCACTCAATGGACACCAACCAGCACTGCTCAAACGTAAACCCTAACAAAACTTAACACATGACTGGAGCATAAGCCAGGGTTCAAAATAAGTGACTTATTTAAGAGTTAGCATTTTTAGATATTAAGAACATAATTTACAATACATTTACTCATTGTACCCTACATATGGTTTTCAAGTTAATAAAATACATATTAGGAAAAGGAAGAACTTCTTCGTACATTGCTGAAATATATGCAATCTAAAGGGGAGAAATGGCTTTGATTAATATTTAAAAGGTAGAAGATCTTCCAAACTGCAGTAAAAATCTCTTTTAAAGATACATGGTCAGTTGTGTGGAGCACAAATCTGTAATTCTCTCATAAGAGGTCTATCTATAAAGAATAGGACTCCCATGGAGATATTGAGACATCCTATCAGGATTTTGACCCTTCCACAAATGTAATTATTTCTTTCCCCTGCTTTGAATCTGATGGATTTCTCCTCTTCATTCTAGTGCCTGCTGCTAAGATCTTAGTGTCACACGTGTTAATAAAGCTGGAATAAAGACCACAGGACCTGCTTCAAATGAAATAATATTGAAGAGGACAACTTGTTGGATTAACCAGAGGCTTAAAGTAGTCATGGCTGCTTAAGTTCCACAGATTTCATGAGACTATAATTTAAGTCTGCCAGTATCCTAATGCTCCTGAACTAGACGTACCATTCTAGCTTTGTCCAATCTATCATATTATTTCGGGGATATAAAGCCTGTCTCTGACCAACCTCTCAGTGAGATTCCTGAAACTAATTGCTAGTATCTTATAATATTGCTTTTAAAAATTATTTAAGTTTTTTTTAGCCCTGTGTCTGAGAAGCACTACCCAAACATCTCTCCTGTATCACTATTATGATTTTAATTTATATCTTCAACAATCCCATTATTCTGATTTTACAGATGGGAAACTGAGGTTCAGAGTGATTCTTCCCAGTGCATACAACGGCCATAAGTCTGAAGTATCAGTAATACCATAACTTTTCAAAGCCAAGCACAGAAGAACAATTGAACACCCTGGTGGCTTGCTAGTTCTGAAAAACATTGTTTCCAGGTTCACCTTCATTGTTTGTGACACTTTCACATTATGGACTGCATTCATATTTAGGTATACTTAAAGTAGACCTACAAAAAAGGGAGGGGGAGATTTAAAAACCACAACTGCTTAGGTCCCACTGACTTCAGTGGCTTTATTCTTACATATGGCTACATCTGCATTCAGCCAGATGTTAGACCCAACTAGAAACAAATCCTGGAAACTCATCATGATGTATTGATTTTGTTCTACCTTATGAAAGCATACTAAGAAATTAATTCAAGATGTGTGGTGAACTCTAGTATCCTGTTGAATGCAAAACAATTGATAAAGTCATATTTGCAATGTTTACATCAGCTTTATTTTCCTTTAGGACTATCACTAAAACCCAGTTGGCAAGCACCAAGGCACAGGAAAGCTTATGGCCTTTTAGCCTGTGACCCCTGTACAGACTCTAGTCTCCTTATAAGACTTCAAAGCAGCAAAGACCATAACTATTGCATAATAATTGTGTGATGTGTCTAAATGATAAAAATGAGAAGAATTACTTTCAGATGTGATGTAGCAGTTTAATTCTATATGCTTTCACTCAGAGAATAGTCCCTCTGTATTCAAGGGGGTCTAATTCTAGTATGCCTGAGTTGGACTACAGCCACAAGCTAACTGACTTGCTAAGAGAGTCCTTCTTTGTAGGAAGAGGACAAATCACTACAAACATGTTCCAGAAGTCTACCAGCATAATAAAACCATTCTTAATCCTCAGCACACTCAGCTGAAAAGTTCTCTGAGGATATGGCTAGACTATATAATACAGATACTGTAACTATTCCGGGTGAAGCACATGCTTCATTGTACAATCTCCAAAATGTGCTCCTTACCATATATTGCTTTTAAAATGTCAGCCACCAGAGCTATAACAAACACCAATCTGCTTTATTTAAATGGGACAAAGCTTTATACCAAGTCATGCTATTTGTCAATCTGGACAAGCACCATCTTCTCTGGCAACGTGTATCAAGAAGTCACCCATCGCCCACTACTTGGGTGTTTGTTAAAATTGAAAATGACTGTACCATCCTGTCTGCTAGTTCACACCATGTATTATAGCCCTGCTACTAAACCATCCACCTTCCTTGCCTACCTTTGTACCCATGACTTCAGCCCACTCTTTCTCCAGAAACGTCAGGTAGATGCTGCCCTCCATCCCATCCTTATTAACTTCACAAGAACCGTGCCTTGCAGCCTAGACCGAGACAAGGGAAAGAGGCACAATTTACTCATCATGATTCCAAGTGGAGGAAAGACTTGAACCTGCTTGGGTCATGATCCTCAAAGGGGGCTGGTGGTGTGGAATCTGATCCAGTCCCCCTGTCAGCCTGACCCCAAGCCTGTTAGGAAGTGGGCAGTCCCCTCCACAAAATGCTTTCACCAGAGTTTCTTGGATGAAAAACAAGCTACTCTAGCCACTCTACCATCCTGTCTTTCAAAAGTCGTAAATGTTCATATCAGCCTACATAGAGGACCATCAAAAAGGAGGAGGGGATGAAAGGGAGGGAGCATCTCTGTCTGTCTCCCTCTCTCTGTGTGTGTCTTTCACCCTCTCTTTGCGGGCAGGAACGAGAGATCCCATAGGCCACGCGGCAGCCAATGAGGTCCGCCCTTGTAGGGTGGCGCGGAAGGGGAGAGCTGGCCAAGGGGGACCCATGGCAACCAATCGCCTTTCCCGTCGTCGAGCCAGGCCTGAGAGGCTCGACCACGACGCCTTCTTGCCACCCAGGATCCCCCACCTGAGAGCCCCCCAGAGGGAACTGCACAACTCCGAATCCGCCTCCCTCTCTCTTTCTCTCTTTCGCACAGTCACCAGCACCATTCCGCCCACTTCCGGCCCCCGCTGGAAACCATTTCCGTTGGAAGAGGCCGCTGGCGCCTGCGCAGTAAGGCAAGACCACGGTCCTTCCGGTGGGGAACACCGAGTCTCATATACACACCTGGGAAGGGAAAGGGAGAGAGAGGCTGCGGGGTGTCAGCATGAGTCATGCACGGAACTTCCGGTGCGAGGGCGGTTTTTTTTTTAAAGACCGCTACAAGTCGGCTTTTTCCTATCTAGACACAAGAGTAGGGTCGCTCTAGCCATTGGTTCTCTATGGTAGAACTCCCAATGTACTTGATTGAGAGCGAAGGGCTAGTTAGAACTTGGCATCCGATGACCAAAAATGACCCCTTTGAGGCTTGGGAGGGTGGGAGGTTGTGTCGGTTGTCATGAATACCCGCACCACAGCCATCATCGTTGCCCGCCTGGACATCTAGGAGACAGGAGTCACGCGGTAGCGAAGGAAGCGCCGCCATTTTTGAGGCGGGCAGGAGACGCGAGAGCTCCGCCGGGCCTGCCTTTCCCTGCCCTTCCCTGCCTCGTCTCCTTGGTTACGCAGGGCGGGCCTGCCCTGAGGGGCGAGGAGGCGCCTTCCTTTTTTCAGGGAACCTGAGTTCCAGGTCCCTTGCAAGGAAAATCTTCGTCATCCTTTTAAGAGCTGCTCGGTGGTCAGGCTCTCCTAAATGCAGAGCCCTCTTATCCACTGTGAGCCCTGCATCTGGAGAAACTGCCTCCAGAGTATGAGATACTTAGGTCACACACGGCCCTCAATTTTAAACTAGGCTGCATCGACAACATATTGTTGCTATCTGGATTTTCTTCACAGACCTCGGTGTGGGCATATAAATTTATGCATGTGCGAAGGAAAGATCAGAGTTAAAAATGTCCTCCTACACTCAAGAGCTTGCTTTTTATCCCCCCCCCTCTCCCTTTTTAAAAGCAGGAGTTGAGGTGGCTAACAATACAGCCAGTTAGATTCCCTCAGTATATGGGCTTCCCCATATGTTTCCAGAAATTAGGATACTGAGGTCAGGTGTCTTCATAAAAGACATGGTTTTTGCTAAACAAAGGGAACATAGTACTCTGTAAGCAGAGAATGGGTGGCGACACGGGCAGCATCCATGGTGGAAATTGCAAATAATTGTGTTATCAATTGTATGGAGTAAGAAAATAGCTGACCCATAATGGAATAACTGACAGATAATCACGGTGAGCGTAAGGGCCTGCAGAAAGAAATTCCCATTCATGATACAGTACCTAGCAGCATGTGAATGTGTGAGGATGCACGCGTGCACACAAACCCCATTTCCAACTCTGTATTTGGGCTTTGAATGCTCCTACTCTGGCAACCCACCAGGAGTCATTCTGGCTGGTTTACAGTCACAGCATATGTTGGTAGATGATCGTAACGCAGAAGACAGAGTTGGATCAGAGATGCAGATGCAAGCCTCTCTCTGCTCAGCTATAAAGCTCAAAGGGTTGTTGGCTTGGGCCAGTTATTGTCCCTCAGCTCAATTTACTTCACATCATCATAATAAGAGAACATTCCAACTAGAATGTAAGCACCTTTAGCTCCTTAGAGTGCAGGAAACAAATAGGATAAATGAAAGGTTTTACAATGATACTGTATTGTCTTTTAAGGTCATGTGTAGTGGCGGACAGTTTGCTTAGCTCTGTAAAATTGTACACAAGGAGCTGCTGTTCAAATATCCTATATATGGTCAGGGCATTCCTCTGTTGATCTGGCTGACAAAGGACATATATGTGTCGACTTTGACACGGCTGCATTTTTCAGGAGCTCATTCTGCAAAGCTGCTGATTAGTTTAAAACAACTGTAACCTTAGAATGTTTCAAACAAGATTACCCCATATTGCTTTTACTTATGCACAACATTAGGGGAAAAAAGGAATGTAGTAGATGAATGTGTCCACCCAAGCTGCTGAGAAGGAAACATGATCTCACATGAATCAGCGCTCAGAAAGGCAGCTTGTTCCCCATTACGTATGTGCAAGTACAAAACACATTCAAAATCACACACAGGGCCCTGTGGGATAAAGGCACACACCAGACCTCAGAAAACAGATATACACAACATTATGGTAAGCAAAATCAGTGCATCCAGTGGTGGATGTAAATGCAAATAAATAATGAATCCCCTGCTAATCCCTGGTCCTAACACCAGATAGGCTGTTTTAAAGGCAGATACAGTACCAGGAAATAAACTTGCAGCTTTCTGCATGCCAAACAGGGTCACTCCTGCTGAGCCACCCAACAGGGCAGTAGCAAAATGATTTCCCCACCCTATTATTGTTAACTCACCAAGGGGCCATAGTTTTTAAGGATAAGGCGGGCTTACTTAAGAGAGACAGGAAATAATGAAGGAAGGATGGTGTTCAGAGCCCTTTGTCTCTGTCCCCTATGCAAACTTAAAGTGGAACAGGGCTGGGCAACGTGGGGCTCTCCAGATGTTGTTTGGAGTGCATTTCAGTCCACCACACCTAGGCAGCATAGTTAGTGATGAAAGATCATGGAAGCCTCAATGAAGCATATGGTCACACATTTTTTTCACACCTGACTAAGCACTTGGTATGGACCCCCACTGTGTAATTTTTCCATGGAAGCACTTAAGGCTGCTAGTTCCTGATCCCTGTAGAATTTTATCCTCACCAGGTCTGCTACTTCTGGGACTTTTGAAGGACGTCTCATGCCCCGGCAACCCCATTCCACCATTTCTTGGCTTTTCTGTTCTAAAATTGGGAAGAATACCAAATATAGTGGTATCTGAGAGAGATGAGTTGAGTTGCCTCTCCTTTTAATTAGTGGTATTTAATATATTTAAAAAGGATGCCCAGTGTGTACAGAGTCACAGATTACGACTCGGGCCTGGGTTCGAATCATCACTCAACCGTGGAAGCTCTGTGGGGGTGTGGAACTGGTAAAACAACACCTTAAATATCTCACTTATCTTGAGAGCCCTATTTGGGTAACAATAAATGGGTTCTGATTTGACAGCACATAACAATGTAGTGTTTCATTTTGTGAAGCCTGGTGCGAGAGCTGAATGTCCTTCAAGGACAAGGATCCACACAGCAACTTCTAAAGCATCTTGGTCCATATCAAGACAAGATACGCAATACGCAAGGATGGCAATGTTTATCTTCATTGAGAAACGCTGCTATAGGAAAATGATATGGATGAAATGCACAGGCACAGAACAATTCCTTTAGAGTAATTCTCAGGGATGGGGACTCGAGTTATAGGACTCATTATAAAGTCAGACTTAAGTCACACCAGTGATTCGCCTCGGGCTTGGAAACTACCCGCCCCTCCTCCTTTCTGGGGAAAATAGCGTATTTTTAATAGGGGATAGAAGCTTGGGACTTGGTAGATTCATACTTCGACTTGGGACTTGAATCCAAAGACTTGCCAAAATCCCTGCTAATACTATTTTGGCAACTAGGAAAGGGGGGGAGGGGAAATGTGTTAGTCTGTTGTAGCTCCTTCAAAAGACTAATATTTTGCCAGAAATGTCAAACCAGATCATTCATTATTTTTTATTTTTTATGTGTCATTCTTTTGCTCAAGAATGTCCAGAACACATTTATAATTTATTAAATTTGTTTCAGCAGCAGAAACGAAGGAGTAAATGAGCTTTGGCCTGTGTATATGAAAATAAATATAACTGATTGGACCAGATTTAGTCGTTCTTAATACAAGGCTCAATAAAATTTGTCATAACTAACTCTTAAGTGGCATTTACTTCAAGTGGGTCTATTCTGAGGCATACTGCAGCAGTTCTTAGCCTTTTCTTTATCACGGACCTCCTTTCAATATCTTTTGTTGCCACGGACCATCAAGACCTAACTCAAGATTTAAAACTCTAAAAGTGCATCAAATATTTATTTAAAGTTTCTCATGAAGTATCACAACAAAAGATATTCCTTGTTATAAAGGCAACAGTTTTTTAGATGGCTGGAAGAAGCTTCATTTCGCTTTGAACAGGATGCATCCTCATCAACAGCATCAGTTCTTTTACATTTCAATTTCAGCCAGCGATCTATTCTGAGGCTCAGCTAAAATATATTATGAAATTCATTGCAATAATATCAAAATGTCACTTTACCCAACAATAACCAAACAGTTTTATTAGCAGAAATCGAAGAAGAAATATGATCACAAAGTCCATCTGAACACTCACTCACACGGACTGACTCCGACTCTTCTTGTGGCTTCTGACCGTCTGCGCAGTAGCAACACACATCACGTGCAATCTCTCAGCTACTCAGCATCACTCACTTGTAGGTTCTCACCGTGTGCGGAAATATCTAAGTTATTTGCTACCAAACAGTTATTTTCATAACCAATTTTTGGTTTTGTTTGCTTTTAATGGAGGTGGTACGTTCGAAATGTCATGTTTTACACAAACAAACAAGGGAAATTAGGATTTTGTTCAAAGTTTCCTTTCTTGCTTTCTTTCATAATGTCTTTCTCTTTTGACTGTAAAATATAACACTTCAAGTTTTCACAGACCCCCCCTCATGAGGATATTGCAGACCCCCAGGGGTCCGCACACCACAGGTTAAGACCGATGCTACAGTATATTGATATGAATCATAAAAATATGAGGCAACATTATGCATACATCTTACTTCAACAGTCTTTTGGTCACTTGGTCTATCAGCTAATGTAATTCCCAGCACTAGAAAATAAAAATACATGGATGATGTAATTGGACAAAAGAATTAAAAATAACAACAGAGAAAGAACCCATTTCAAATATATACTTCAATTATTTTAGTGCATTCTAAGTACAAATGATGATTTGTTCAGCTTTGAGGCCAGTGCATGCATTCTCCACTGTTCAAAAATCTTGAGCTATGGCTTTTGTTAGTTACAATGTGCAAAATGTTTCAAGTGCACATGTACTTTTTGGCAGAGTGAAGTATCCACTTTGGGCAGCTGAGAGAGGAACATGAATTCAATGGCAAGAGAGCAACAAAAAGAGTCCAATTTTTGCCCTGAAACAAACATGGGGAGAATGGATGGCACTAGAGAGATGAACCGAGGGATACCCTTTGAGGGCCACGTGGCTATGGGCCAGAGATTGCACTTCCCTGCTTTGGTATGAATTGCCATCTGCATTATAGTTTAGCTTGACTATTGATCTAGTAGAACGGCAATATGACTAGCAGAAAAGTGGTATGGAACAGGGGTCCGCAACCTTTTTCACCCCGCGGACCGGCTGGGGAAGGGGAGGGGCACCCCTCACGCTCATGCGCATGTGCAAAAAGCATGTGCATGCACATACGGTGGTGTGGCGCTCGCACAGGCATGCTGGAGCGCGCACATGCGCAAATCAGCTGTGCAGGGGTGAGTGCATGTGGGTGGCGAGGGGGGAGGTCTGTCTTCGTGGCCCAGTCCAGCTCAGGCCACGGACAGGCACCGGGCTGTGGACCAGGGGTTGGGGACCTCTGGTATAGAATTTATCACATGAAGAAAACTGTAAGTGGAGCCAGGTTGGTTGAATGGAAAATGTAGAACTGAAGGCTAAAAGGAAATCTGGGATGAAATCTGCATTCAGCCATTTGAGTTCATTGAACGACTTCAGGTAAATCATTGTATGTCCGAGGTTGTTTTTTTTTTAAACTTCTCACAAAGGCTAAGTAATGTATGGACTGCCACCATTAGCTTAGCTGGTTTTTAAGAGAGGAATGCACCATTGCGTGGAAAACATATCTCTTAGCAGGTGTGTTATGAAAACTTTATGGGAACTCCAGCTCGGAAGGACTGCACAACAGAGTTACTACGTACCTCTAGGATCAAGGACGTTGTGCTTCTGAATACCTGCTGCTGAGAAATTAAAGAGGAACATTTATTGGCTTCGCACCCTTGTTTGGTTCTCAGAGGCGCCAGATGCTGGACTAAGGCCTTCAGGATCCTTACGTTTTCTCAGACTAATCTACTGGAGGAGATTGCTACAATGCCGGAATTATCCCAGAGCCCCCCCCACCCCACCCAGAGAAATGGAAAGATACAAATGCATCTGTTCTGGTTAATGTCTCTTTTAAACACACAGAAAAGGATTTCTCATCTCCACTGCTTTTAGACAATGACATCTATTTTTTTGCCTTCTCTCTCTCTCCCTTTCTTTTGCCAAAAACACTTGTTTCCATTTTTTACAAGGGGAAATCATCTTGCTTTCCAAAGTAAGACTATATTCTGTTCATTTATTTAGAAAAGGCCTTCTCCAACCAGATGTTTTCTACTAATGCTCATCAGCTATGGGAACTATGGCCAATGGGATCATGGATGATTATGCTTTTGGTACAAATCTGGCAACTGGCAAGGACCAGATTAGGGTACAGTATTTATGGTACGCTCTGCTCCACAGACAATGACCTCTCAGGGTGGCTAAGAGAGGAAAACATGATGGGTTAGATCCGTGCTTCCCAGCCTTGGGTAACTCAAGTGTTCTAGGACTGCAACTCCCAGAAGCCATCACCACTAGGTATGATGGCTAGGGGTTTCTGAGAGTTGGAGTCCAAGAACACCTGGGTTATCCAAGGCTGGGAAGCACTGGGTTATATTATCTTGGTCCCCAACCTTTTTGGGACTACGGACTGGTTGGTGTGGGCTCCATGCGCAGGGGGGCACCCCACACTTGTGGGCGGGTGGCATGTCATGCTCGCGGAGGGGTGTGTTGCACTCGCGGGTGGGTGTGTCACTCTCACGTGCATGCCCCTCCGCAGACGTGGCACGCCCACTGTGCGTGCATGCGGGGGGAGCGGAGATCCGTCTCTACAGCTTAGTTCCAGGAAGCCCACGGACTGTGGGCTCCATGTGCAGGGGGGCACCCCACACTTGTGGGCGGGTGGCATGTCATGCTCGCGGAGGGGTGTGTTGCACTCGCGGGTGGGTGTGTCACTCTCACGTGCATGCCCCTCCGCAGACGTGGCACGCCCACTGTGCGTGCATGCGGGGGGAGCGGAGATCCGTCTCTACAGCTTAGTTCCAGGAAGCCCACGGACCGGCACCGGGGCCATGGACCAAGGGTTGGGGACCCCTGATCTAATACATCTGCTGCATGTCTCCCTGAAACCAACGACACTTTGCTCATGACTTTCATATCAATTTTAATGGAGTTAAGTGTAAATAACTATAGTTGGTGCCTCCCCCCCCCGTGTCTGCTTCAGAAATGAGGAAGATGCTTGCTTTGTGTTTGGCTACATTTTATTTTGCTACTTAGCTGCCTTGTGCACTGTTTGGTGGGAAGATAGAATACAAAAATGCAAACAAACAATAAATATCTTCAAAATGCCATTAAGCTAAAAGAGGTCTAGGAACGTAAAGTTTTGACTCCCACAAAGGATATTCCAATTCACATTGCATGTCAGCTTTTAGTCTTGACATAAGATTGACGTATACATAAGTGGCAGAATGTTGTAGTTTAAGATATGTAGCTTCATATATGTAAGGCAAATAAGGTTGCTTAACAGGCCTTCAGTTAATCACTTTTTCAAATGTGTATATATGTAAGTTAATATTTTAACTTGAATATGTGACTCTGCCCATCAACCTTCTTCCCCTTTTAAAAATAGCATGTCTGAATTTGTCAGAATAACTCTGCTCACCAAATTTACGTAGTCAAAAAGTTAATTATTAACAACAGCAATAAGCTATTACAAAATGTTTTACTGTACTCCTTGTTTATCTTAATTCAAATCAATATAAACAATATATTGCCATTTTTAAGGAATAAAAAACCCTGAAATCATTAGTTTTTAGTCTTTTACAATCATTAGTTTTTCTTGTGCAGAGGCACCTACCTCTCTGAATATCATATAGTATATTATTTTCTACTCTATTCATGTACCTTTTAAACATCTGTAGAGCATCTGTTTATACATTCTTAGGGACATTTTAGGCATGCCTTTAGGCCCAAGAAGCAAGTACTTTCCTAATATTCAACACTTCTTCCTTAATTTTAAGCCATATATTATGACTTTCTCTTTGAAAATGGATGGTTTCTTCTTTTATCCCAAGAGTAATTATTAAGAGAAGAAAGTCAAGCTTGGCTGCCTGATGCAAACTCGTAAGTAGGAGCCCCTAATATGACCTCACATGGCTTGAAAACCCTCATAGGTTTCCAGTGAGTCAGATTTGACTCAACGGCAGATAACAATGTGGCCTACACGACCAGTCGAAATGAAAACCCTCACAAACATCTTACCAAGATTTAATGTACATTTATTCTTAACACGTGGAACATATAGTATAAAGATTTCATACTGAATAAATGATATTCATTAAGCCAAAAAAGGAAAAAAGGGAGGAATTTACATCAAGTTTTTTTAGCTACATCGTCTGAAATACAAATATGCAGAATTCATCACTGAAAAATCTCAATTGTGTTTCTTCATCAGGAACTTCAACTGAACCTAGAACTTTTTCACACCTCGATTAGAAAGAAAAACAAAAACAAAAAACCCCAGGAAAAATAAAACTATAAGTTGATTGGCTGCTGAGACAGCAAATGACTTTATACACAAGAGACCTGTACAGCATCCTCCAGAAAAGAGAGAAAAACGACAGAAAGAAAGAGAGAGAGAGAGAGAGAAAGAGAGAAGAGAAAGAAAGAGATGTCTGGCAAGAGATTAAATAATTGGTGTCTCGCTTTTGCAGGTCATCAACTCATTTAACTCGTCCTACTATAAAGGGGTGGGCAAGGGAAATGGGGACAAAACTGCAAGGAGTCTGAGGGCATGTGCAATGTACAACGTCATATATATATACACACGTGGCAGCTGTCAGGCTGCATCTAAAGGTTAAAACCAGTTCTAAGAGGTGATCTCAGGGTTATTCATACAATCAAGGAGGAAGAGAGAAAGAGGTCAGGGTGTTGTAGGTTCACACATGATACTTTGGGGGAAAAGCCTTTTTTTCTCCTCAACATTAACTAAAAACATTTTTAAAAACTACAGCTTGCTGCTGATCCAGCTTTTTTTTCTTCTTCTTCAATGTGAGACATTATTACAGTATGTTTACAGTTTAAGGTGTACAGTACATGAAGTTCTACACTCTACTGCACAGGCCTCCATTGGACAAGGTCTGTTAACAACTGGTAGCTTCTTAGTTCCTGCAAGATTGTGAATGTACAACGATAAACCACACAAGAGTTCAGCAGTCACTTTTTTTGTCCTTCAGAGTTTTACCATTAAAAACAGTTATGAAAGTAGTGCCTGTTGATGCGATAACAGGACAAAGTTGTTTTTTTCCCCAAACTCACTGTAAACGACAGCAACTTTGGTTAAAATAAAAAAAGTTTGTTTTTTTTTTAAATGTAGGCAGAGCTTTGTCTCCTTGAACAGGGGATTAGGACAGATCTGAAGGGCAGAGGTGAGGGGGAAAGGGAACATCTTTTCCCCAAAGGTAGAAGCAGGACAGCGCAGGGCAGACAGTGGATTCTGAGGTGGTTTTGCATAAATAAAGGGCAACAATCAGTTTCTAAGTCCTCCACTCACACACACGCACACAGGGGTATAGGCATCCCACGGCTGTCATGACTGGCCAATTAAAAACAGTACGTCACAAATAACTTGTGAAACCAATGAGTTCATCAGAGGTGACACGGAGATGTCCAACAGCCGTGACTCGTATAACGTGAACTCTGAGTGGTTCTCGTCCACTTTGGCCAGAGCGAGCAGTGCTCGGGCTGCCCGGCGCATCATGTCCACACTGGTCGGCTCAAAGGGAGGGTTCTGCATGTGCATCAAAGTGGCTTGGCTTTGCTGGAACTGAGTGGCTGCCAGGCTGTCTTCCAAGAAGCCTAGCAAGTTGCCAATGCTGCCCTTCTGCACGGCAATGGCTCTAGCTGCCAAGCTGTCGCCCTGCGCCAAGTTGGCCAGTAGTACCACAGCCATTTCCCGACATACGGGGTTCTTTCGGTCACTAAGGAAACGCACCATGGTGCCGTACAGTTTCTCCAAGCGACTGAAGGGTGGCGTTGCTAGGATCAAATCCACGTTGTTGTCCTGGATGCTGAGTTTGCTGAGGGTTTCCAAAACTAGTCTCTGAGGGGAGAGGACAGCATTAGGCCCCAGGGTTGGGAAAGGATCTTGGGCTTCTGCCGAAGGACACACCGCCCAATGGAGGAGTCCATCCAGTATAGGCAAACAGATACTCTCTGGGTATGGCGAAAGGTCCAGCTGGCCAGAGATGTTGGCCAGCGTGACCAAAGTGTTTTCACGTAGCATTTCCAAGCAGTCCCACCACCACTCCACTTTGTTGCAGCTCACTCCTTGGTCCTGCTCCTCTTCCTTTTCGTACGTCAGTGGTGCCTGTTTGCGTTCTGGATGCTTATGGTGCAGGAGAATTAGTTTCCCTAGGATCAGCAGCAAACCAGGGTGTTTAGACATCTCAAAGTCATTGCCTGGCACAAACGATAAACTCCTGATGATGTTAGATACACAGACGCAGCGTTTAGACAACGAGTCCTGCCAGTCTAGAAGCGTGCACAGAGGTGTTTCATCTTTACTGTGAGGCTCATCTTCTAAGATTTTTATGTTCCTGTGATTCTGAGCCGGACTAATCCCAAATGGAAATTTACTACTCTCCTTTGCTGCCTCCATGTTCCTGATCTCTTCTTCCTCTGCCAGTGAGCCTGGTCGTGCCGAAAGCATGTCATCCATAGTAGCCGTTATCCTTTTTTCAGGAGGACCCTCGGAAGGAGGGGACTCTCCCTCTCGAGTGACTGGGTGGCTCTCAGCAACATATGGTTTTCGCAGCAAAACAGAGTTGCAGGAAGCTCGTTTATGAGTCAAAGACAGCTCCATTTTGCTTTCAAAGTGGGTTTGAATGTGCTCAGTGGTGTCTCCCCCACCAATCCGCCAGTGTAGCAGTCCACTCTCAAACTCCTGGACCCGACCAAGTTTGCCGGAATAATCTACTACAAATGGATCATTCTTCTGCACTATCTTGACTGGAAGCTTGTCAAATTTACTGACTAGCTTCTCTTCACTGCTCTCGAGAGGTGCTGTGGCTTTATTTGCAAAGGCAGCTTCCTCTTCTCCTTCCTCTTCCTCCTCCTCCTCCTCCTCATTTTCCTCACAATTAGTACTCTGTGGCTCTTCTCTCTCTCCTGCTTCAGCAGAAGGACTCGAAGATTTGCTGAACCTTTCGGGATCCAATAGTGTTCTCTGACCTGGATCTCCCACCTCATATTCCTTTAGGATTCCAAAGATTTCAATCAGACAGCGCCGAAAATATTCCACCAGTAGCTCCAACAACCCTGGAAGCTAAAAGACAAAAGAACATGAGAGCAGGTTAAGACTAGTGAAATACAGACAAGCGTGAGAAGAGGCATTGGGTGACCATGTCGCTTTATCCCATAACCATTTGCACTCCTTTTTCTGGCACGGCAATAGTGGTGGTAATAGAATAATCACACTAATTACGCTTCTTTTTTAAAAAGCTTTTTTCCAGGTTACTAGCACTTTATATATATATCTTACCCCAATCCTCAGGAACATGTTCTTTACTGAACTTCATTCTCTTATTGAACAACTGGCTAATACAGAAATGAATCAATACAGATTCTGTGGAAGATCGTCATAACTCAGAGCATACGTTGCCCATGTAACAATTCCCACTTAAGAGATAAGTGTGGGTCAAATGTCTCTCTGCCTCAAGCACTGGCGTGGTGACACCAGTTAGGGGAGACAGTACTGGGATGAGTGAACCAAGAGTCTGGTTCACAATAAGACAACATTATATGTTTATACGAACATTAAGAATAGAAAGGGGGGGGGCGGAAACCCAGAATAAAAAAAATCCATCTGGTGCTAAGAAAAATGGGGGAAAATACATTGTGCCCAACATGTTTCAACTTACAATCTCTAAGAATAGGAATTCTTATACTATCTTGCTACGTAAATTCATTTAGAGCACTGTTTCTCAACCTTGGGTCCCCAGATGTTCTTGGACTAAAACTCCCACAAGCCTTCACCACTAACTGTGCTGGCCATAATTTCTGGAAACTGTAGTCCAAAAACATCTGGGGAACCAAAGCGGGAACCAATAACTTAGAACAAATTGCATCAGAAGTAATAAGACAATGGAATACCCAGTGTAAGGTTTTTTTTGGCTATAAAGATAAACCTGTGGCTCAGTTCAGCCGTAACACAAAACATAGCTGAACTATATCAACAAGTATTGCCTCCTTCTGATATGCTGTTCATTTTTCATTTATCAACAAGCCTGAAAAAAAGTATCTCCTCCTTCTGATATGCTGTTCATTTTTCATCACCCCAGCTTTTATTAAACAGTGTATTACCATTATATCTGAAACTGCTGAGTACTGTTTATTCCTGCACTATGAATAAATAAACGTCTACTTTACAATTGTGAATTAGGACTGCCTTGCAAAACTGATTTTTCACTCTTCTTTCACCATTACTCTGTCAATCCAAAGATAGGAGCACATTGTGGTTTGCTGCAAGCAGTGGAGGAGGAGAAGAAATCATGGCAGATGAAGGAAAAAAGCACACATTTCAATGCTCATTCCAAGTATGTTAATGCTGTGACAAACCAAGGTTTGACATTACACATTATCCAAGCTTCAATACTATGAAGATGAAATATAGCGATGCAATATAATACAAATTCTTTCTGGGACACTAATCTGACAATTTGCTCTTTTTTCTTTTCTTTTTTTGGGTGTGTGTGTGTGTGTATACTCAAGTTAAACCAGATATGGAATTCAGATGCCAAAATGATTTATAGAAACCAGCCTGCCAAAATACCAGTCTAAAATGAAACAAAAATGTTAAGCAGGTAGGGATGAAGTTAACTCGTACTGTTCCTTTATCCCAAAATAATTATAAATAGCTAATTAGGGAAAAACCAGGATACATTGGAAATCTTCTAACAGATCTGTTGCATCAGTTTCCTGAAGCACCTTTAGATGTGAACAGATATATTACAGCCATAAATTTCAAGGACTGAAGTCCATCAGATCCACATAGTACTGTAAATGCAAGCTTTCAAGGACTGACATAATGACTTAAGTCTTTAAAGTATTTATTTTAGAGTACTGTAAATGCAAGCTTTCAAGGATTGACATAATGACTAATGACTTAAGTCTTTAAAGTATTTATTTATTTACCACAAGAATACTGTTTTTACAGTCAATCATATGTCATCTAGACTTTTTACGCTATTTACTAAGTGGCAAGTCCTAACCCCAGAGGGCCTTGGGCCGTGTTATATCCAGCATTCAAGGTTCTACACAGATGAAAGCTGAACCTAGTGGTCAATATGAATTATACTAGTTAGCTCAGATCTACTTACTCTACATAATTTCTATTTTCTTTTAGTCATATAGAGAGACAAGGAGTAGGATACGACACCCTAAAGCCTAACTATTTGAAACTCTACACTTCCCTATGGATTTCTGGTCAACTCTAAGAGCTGCGAATATTTTCCCATTAAACTGTTCTCAAGATACTACATGCTTTGTAGAATATATACCATCCAGTCATGAGGCATATCTTTACACTGAGAATCTGCTAAAATCTTGCAAACTTCATATTTCAAAGCCCATTGACCCCGTGGTGTGTCCACTCACCTGGCTGAGGTTGAAAGTCATTATGCTGTTGTCATCATAAAGCAGGATGTTTATGGTATCCAAGGCCCATGTACTTTCAGCCAGTAATCCAGATTTCAGAGACATCATTACCCTCCACGCTTCAGGAGTTCCTGAAATAATATAAAACACATTTTACACCCATGAATTCGCAGAATGAAACAAAGCCAGCTACTCTTGAATTGTGCTTTCTAAATTCCACACAAAGCAAAAACAAGTTCATATTACCAGGTAGACTAGCTATTCCTTAATTCTAACTCCATCCTGCACAACATCAACATATTCCTGGCACAGCTACCATTAGTTATTGGGAGGTTTTTTTGGGGTGGTGGTGGAGGTGGAATGGAATGTGCCTCTAGAATACACTCAGCATATTAAAGGGAAATAAGACACCCACAGCAGTATATCAATTACTAACAAAAACCTAATATTCCTTTCCTTTGACATAATCATCAGAAGATGATCTGTGGCCAGGGAGACACCACCCTCCCACAAACACAAAGCACGCCCGCTTCCTCACCAATATCTTTCGTAGTCAGACGACGCCTCTGCTTCAGCACTGGTTGCGTAGCTTCCACTGACCCGGGTGGGAACGTGATGTCCCGTCGTATCATAGGAGGCTGTACAGCTGCTGGCGTTATATGGGATGCAGGAACTGGGGGCCCTGCCTTCTGCATCTTCATTCCTGAATGCATGAATGGAGATTTACTGGGAGAGGTGCGGTTTTCCACCGGCCTGGGAAGAGGTGCTGGGCTGGATACCTGAGGAATGTGATTCTGCATGCTTGGCTGGGTCTGGTAGTTGGGCTGGGGTGGCCTTGTCATGGGTGGCACGGGGGCAGAGGGACCATAAGGAGGCTGGCGGTTACTATGAGATGGCCATGGTCCCTCGTGATTACCCCTCTGGTCTGGGTGCAGCATTTCATCCGTTCGGTTCACTCCGTGATACGCGGGTCCCTGGGGTGCAGAGCTGGTACTTTGCCGGTTGGGATAGCTGTAACCCATCTCGTTACGTCCTTGCCACATGGTGCCCTGCTGCGGACCCTCTGGGGTGGACTGTATGGGGCCTCCCATCATCTGGGGAGGCATATTCTGCTGGGTACTAGAGCCCGGGGGAGCAGAGACCCTCTCTCTGCCGAACTGGAATGGGAACTGGTTCTGTGGCCCAGTGGCAGGTCGGCGGTCTGTGGCAGAGTAGGTATTCCCATACTGGTTATAGATTTCCTGCTGTGGAGAAGGTTGAGCAGATGGTTGCTGGCTAGCTGGTTGGGTTTGGGCTGGAGGAAGCTGCTGCTGGGCTTGGCCTTGGCCTGCACTGTAGGGTACGTTGTACATCTCTGCTTCATGCCGTTTGGCTGGGGGCCCATAATTGCCATCCATCGGCCGCTTGTAATTCTGAAAAAGAGAAGAAGAAGCTGGGCCGTTCACGAGCAGCTCTCTTTTCAAGAAGGCTGACTGAGCCAAAATGACCAGCTTTACTTTCTCCCCTCTTGCTGCTGCTTTTACTAGCTAGGCTGAGTCCCTCTCCTCCACACTCCAAAAAGACCAGGCAATCCGTGAGGACAATCTGCTCAGGATGACAGATAGAGGCTGTGCAATTCTCAAGCTTTATCCACAGTGGAATGAATGAGCAGAAGTGGACAGTTTGTAGTTAGGTCCCAACTGGTAAGACTTGCAGCTACATTACAGTAAGTTCAATGAAGATCAGGTCACTAGGTTGTTTAATACTGGAAAAACCATGGCCTGTTTCTAAAATGGGTGCAGTCTATTTCTGTCACTACTGGTTATTACAGGAACTGTTATATCCTCTCTCTTGACTATTGCCAAGTCTCTCTATAGCATTACCTTTAAAGAATGAAGGCTGCTTTGGTTTGTGCAACATGTAAGTAGTCAAGCTACTAACTGGTACACAGTAAAATGTTCGTGCTACCCCAGTATTTAAGTACCTGAAGAGGTTACTAACTACTTTTCCATAATCAACTGAAGATGCTGTTTTTAATCTCAAAAGCCTCAAATGATTTGCAACCTTACTATTTAGGAAACCACCTCTCTTGTTATGACTCTATCTGAATATTAATATTAAGAGGTAGTCTTAAGAATACAAGCTCTGGTAGAGAGGCCTACTACAGAAGGACTTTCCACAATTCAGACAAGTTCTGAAAGATGACCTGCCACCATCCCATGAAGCTGGAAAGCCCCACCAACTGCTGAACTACATACCCTTTATTCTGTGTTTAATTATGCTTGTTATTTAGTGACTAGTGGATAGCAAACTGGAGGAAAAACCCTTAGGTTACCCTCTACCACTACAGGAAAGGTGAAATAAATAATAACTAAATATCCTCAAGAACGGATGTGCTGGTTTTCCTCTTTTCCTTTTGCCTCTCAAACTTGTTTCTCTCTCTCTGATGTCATGTATTTTTAGGACTCTACATTTGATGGCAGTGATGGTTTGTTGACCATTTTTCAGTTGAAGAACAGGATATTAATGGCATAAATTGGAAAAAAAACCCTACAAAAACCTTAAGATGCTCAGTGGTTTAGGTCTCTGGCTGTGGAGTCAGAGTTTGGAAGTTCGATTCCCCACTGGGCCTCCTTGATAGAGACTGAACTTGATGATCCATAGGGTCCCTTCCACCTCTGCAATTCTAAGATTATTATTATACAAAATTGTATCCCAGTGTTATAAATGGAAATGTGGCTACTTTGAAATTATCCAGCCGTGGATCTAGGACTTGGTCTTGCATCTGGATGCAAGTTTCACAATTCAATTAACGCAAAAGCCCCACCCAGCTGGTCTTCATGTACTTAATACAGGTGTATATAGCCACTACTTTTTGCTTTTGCTTTGATCACATTACTAAATGGAAAGCCTCACCACATCTATGTTGCACCACCTGCCAAACTAAGCCCTATCCCACCCATCTACCAATATGTCTTTGCCTTCTATTGCTCACAGGTAACATTCACCCATTTAATCAAACTTCGAAACCACTGGAAGCTCACCTGCTGTTGTTGCTGATACAGGGTGGTCTGCTGGCTAGGAAAGGGGCTGCCAGAGGATGTACCTTGAGTGGAAAACTGATTGCCATAGGAATCATGTCTGCGAAAAACAAAATAAATGGTTAATATTCTTCCCAGAGCATCATGAAAACCATCTGCTGCAAAAACGACTGTTGACACAACAGAGATCTCCAGGTGCCTACCGCTGCTGTGGCTGTTGAGGATAGCGGCTTGGTGAATACATCCCTGAATCAGGTGCGGAAGGCATGATGTTGGCCTGGGCAGTTCCAGTTCCCAGGTTGGCTTCAGGCACCATTCCTGTTTCAGTCCTGAAAAACAGCAAATATACAAATAAGATAGAATTCTAAGCTCCCTCTATTGTAGTTAGAACTGAACAGGAAAACTACCAGTGGAAACAAACACAGAAGCTGCTGAACCCGTTTTACATCTGGGTACACTGCCTTATGCAATTGTGCATATGATCTGATGTCTTTGTGTCCCCCCCCCTAGATTTCCCTATTTGATAAGCCTGGGTAACATTTACACAAACTTCAACAGTTCAGAAACCAGTAGCCAGCTGCCATCCCATCCTGCACAGCTTCTAGTCCTCTTAGCCAACCAGGACAATGTTTTAATTTCCGCCCACACGTACTCAATTCTCATGCAACTAATGAGCTCTTTAAAACTATTTCCCTACCCACAAGCCTAAACATGAGATATCTAAACTTCAGAGTGGGTGGAGAGTGAACCTTTTCTTTGAACAAATCTATGCAAGAGACCCTGATGTTGGGAAAAGTGTGAAGGCAAGAGGAGAAGGGGATGATAGAGGATGAGATGACTGGACAAGGTCATCGAAGCCACCAACATGAATTTGACCCAACTCTGGGAGGCAGTGGAAGACAGGAGGGCCTGGCGTGCTCTGGTCCATGGGGTCACGAAGAGTAGGACTCGACTGAACGACTAAACGACAACATGCAAGAGAAAGGCACTTGCATTGTGAGGCAGCTTGGTACCCCAAAGTAGCATCAGTGCATCCACAATCAATACTCACCTCACTCTGTCATAAGGGCCGTAAGGATAATGTTGCCTCTGGCCCATGGCCATATTACTCATCCCTGGACCTGTAGCACGATTATAAGGATCACCCATGCCACTGTTGGGACCCTGCCCTGAGGACATAAAGGGATCACTTCCTGAAAAGTGGAATGTGAAAAACAATCAGAATTGTAAGATTCATACTCCTTCGAAAGAAAAGACGAATACATATAAAGCCATAGTGGACAGACAATTATATGTTCCTAAACTTGGCTTCATGGGATTAGAGACTTGAGCGTGTTTTAATGTCTGCATGCTAGAGTATGAAAGATATTGTCACCTTTTCTCATACTGCCATAAGGATCCTTATTTGGCTCATAGGACATGCGACCCATCATGTCGGAAGTATTCATGCTGGGCTGATACCCTGGATTAGGAGTCATGGAGTTCCTCTTCTGGAAGGTAGGGTCAGTTCCATCAGGAAAGGCATCCTGAAGACCTACCGAGTTACTCCTGATCCAATGAAGGAAGAACAATTTTAACACAAAATTGCACATCAGTGGCATCAACTATGCCCCATGTCAGCAAAAGCCGTGACCCAGCACAGCACCCATCAGGCATTTCCCCGCCGCAGAAAAGTGATTATGCAGTACCTGATGCCTTGCAAAGGGGGCATCTGGCTGTGTGGTGTAGATGCAGGAGTTGGGGGCTTCAAGTCTCCTCCTTCAGCCATGGAGCTACTGGTGGACTGAGGTGTTTGAGGGCCTTGCATGGAACCTGAACCCGCTGCAAAGACAAAGAGGAGGCATCAACCATAAAGTTGAAGATACTATGAAAAACTGCAAGGATCAGAACAGTGCAAGTTAAAAACATGAAGGGAATGTAAACAGAGAAGAATAAAACTCAATGCACAATTTATCTGCAGATTCAGACACAAAGTTCTGGGGTGCATAAATATACTGGGATCATCCTTCTTTTTCTTACAAAATATTAAGCCCCTGTCTAACTATCATAGGTTCCTGCGCTTCACTAGGAAACTGTTGCAACCTATGACCACAGTGTATACAAAGCATCAGGTCTCCAAACAGAAGCAACTTTTTGCCATCCAGAGAGGCAATCAGTTCTGTACTCTTCTTTACAACGAACGGGGCATGAAAAGCAAAGGACCCTGATCCCACACCAGCAGGATTCACTCTTCTTACAGCTTTGAAAAACACAGCATGTAGCATCTCTGTTGGATCCTTCTCACAAAGTCTGAGATTATGTTCTCCTCCTGTACAAGGTCAAGCAAAAGGGATCGTGTGGCTACTTCTGCTCGATCTTGACAGAAAAACCCTGGAAACTTTCTCTGTCTGAAAATTAGAATACAGCAAAACAAGGACCTAGCTGTGCAGTTTACACAGTTCCTGTTACGGCCTTTCTGGTGCTGCCATCTTTCAAGGTCTCTGCGCTCCGCGCAGCTAGCAAACTCTTTAATTAGGTTTTCCATTAGTTACCATTTTCAGCATTGATATCCCTCGCCTGAGCTTTGCAAGTTGATGAGTCATTTCAGCTATTCATTAAAATCCTCTAGAGGTCAGATACAGGTCATGTTTGTTTATGCCCCACCTTCCTGGCACCCTCTCCCTCTGCTGGGCTGCTCCCTCCCAGTCTGGGGACATCTCTCCTCCGAAGGAAGGGCAAAAGCAAGCTCAGCAGGGAGCTTCATTCATAACCCCACCCCCACCCCCTTTCCCCATTCATTAGCCTTTCAGTTCCATTCCATTCCCCTGGGAATCCAGCTAGCAAAGTCTCTGCTGCATTCTAATACACTGACATCAGCAGGAAGAGGTTTCAAGACATGCTGCCATTTGTTGTTCACCCCCCCGCCGTCCCTCCCAACTCACAAATTTACAAACTGCTGGAGGGGTGCCAACTCCATACTCTGTGAATTCAAGCCTAACTGGCTGCACTTCCCAGGGCACATGTTGGCATTCATTCATAATCAGCAGCCAGAAAAAGCTGAAGGGGGTGGCGGTGGCAGAGGGCGGGTGAAAGGGGGGAGGAAGAGACAGAAAGTGCCTATGCTGTAGCGGTCCAGGAGGCATAGTGGAATGGCACCTGTGTGCCGCTACAAAAGCAGGCAGGCTGGTAATTGAAAGCAAACAACGGGGCAAAGCCACCCCACTCCCATCACCACATTTTAAAAAGAGAGGGTTTTGCTGATTAGCCCAACTTCAAGCAAGATCCTTTCCACTGATCAAGTCCTTCAACCACATATACCGTCCGTGTGAAGGGCCCGCTCACTTTCATCCAGCAAACAGGAACACCATCATCCCGAGCTGCAGACACAGCACAGACTAGATCAGAAAAGCCAACTCAAACTCAAGAAGGTAACAGCATTTGAAGCTGCACACCTTTTGAAGAGGTAAAAAGTTTCTGAGCAAGAACCAGGTAAGCCTCCCACAGCAAAACAACAAAACAAAACAAACAAACCAACAAACAAACTAAGGGAGTTTGTCACAAGGAATGTTTTGCTGTAGCATATTCTACACAAGATAAAGGGTTCTTGACCCTGTACTACTGTTAACAAATACAATTAAAAACAGAAATACAGTAATAAAACATAAAAACATCAGTGGCAAAGCCTAAAAAGTTGCTTCTGCATTTCCAGTAATTGGTTTTGTAGAGTAGGGAGTAGAGGTGCACAGTAGAGGTGTTTCTGGAGAGCAGTTCCCAGACTTCTCCAGGCGGCGTGGTCACAGGTGGGAACGAACATTCGACAATCGTATAATGTGCAAAGGGGAGATCCCTAACACAGTACTGTGTTTGGAAGGGGGAGAATCTCGTATCTTCCCTAAAGCAGGCCAGGAAACCTTTTCACAATGAAATTGACTACGTTGGGAAGCGAAACAAGGAAGAACTCTTGGAGCATCCTTAAGATGAGAAGATTTATTTTAATGTCAGTGTTTATAAGATCCAGTTCTTCAAATATAGACGGGAAGCTCGCAATCCACTAGGTTAACTCTAAAATACATCAGATAGTCTTTAAAAATGCCACAAAACTTTTTTATAGTTGTTGTAGCAAAGTTAGTCTGTTCCACTGTGCATCACATCTTTGAAAGTTAGTCAAGAGGCACAGCAATACTTTCTGAAAATTCAAAATCGGGCTGTTGCCATGCCTTCCATTTACTAAAATTTACTCATGGAGAACAACCATAGCATAGCATTTGAATGTGAAAGGGATTCACATGCCAGAAAGATGGACTGAAAACTCTTGGTTTGTTTCAGGAGAAGTAGCACAGAGCTAACGATAAACAATTGGTATGACCCCCAATTACACCTAGCGCAAACACTACCATGCCTTCTTCATGCTCTTGGGTCCAGAGTGGATTGGGAGGAGCTCATCACCTCTCCTAAATGATGAAACTGCCTTTCTAAACCTACCTGCTGCGTTCAATAATAGAAGAGTCCCCTAAGAATCACCCCTAATCTACTATCTAGTCTTACAAGAAGCACTGAAGTGTCCTGTATTGTGGTGTCTGTGATTTGATTCTTGATGGTGTGAGGTCTGCAGAGTGGGGTGCAGTGTTGTGCCATCTATTATGGAGAGAAGGTTGCGTCTGAGAGGCAGCTGAATATATTCTCTGTTGGAAAGAAGCAGAAAGAGAGCATACTGTGGCTGCCGGGAACATCATGGTGGGACTGGGATACAACTGGAGTTGTACCTCCTGAGCTTTGTCAGTGTACTGGCAATCGGCAGGAAGGGTGGAAAAAAATAAAGAAGGGCTGCGGTCCAAGGTATAGCAAGTCGCAAAAGGGTGGTCTCTGGAGCAGAAGATTCTGCATTTTGTGTTCCATGGTGTGGCAAATAGGTTGACCTCTGAATGTCCCCATCTGCTGGACAAGTATGAGGCAACAAGAGGGTGGAGGGATCATTCATGTGGATCTGCCAAGCTTCTGCTCAGTGAGTCTGCCTGAATGTTTGGTCCGTACCATCTACATACCCTCTACATCTGGTATGTAGATGACAGTAAACCATATTTCATGCTTGATGGATAAGGTCAGCAACTGATTCACAGGTGGTTCAGTGTTTGAGAGCATGTTCATCCCTGTTTGTTAAGGCAGAAGACCACAGCTGTGCTGTCTGACATAACCTGTATTGCATTCTTCCTTAAGACTGGTAGGAAGACTGTGCCTTCAGGACTGTTAATATCTTAAGGGTATTTAGATGGAGCTTTGCATTCCTGAAACCAATGGCTGTGGATTTTTAGATAATGTACCACTCAGGCTTTGCATTCCTGAGACCAATGGCTGTGGATTTTTAGATAATGTAGTGCGCTCCTCAACTTCTGCAAGATCTGTCTCTGACCACAATTGCTGAGGACTGAGGGTGACAAAACAGGACTCTTCGCAGAGGTGAGGCTGTGAAGTCCATTAGCACAGGGTGTTTGGCATGTAAGGGAAAGCCAGACTTGGGCCCTCGGATCCTTGTGCATATGTCTCTACTCCCTCATAAAGAAAAGTTGAAGGTGTCTCATATGGAAGCATGCTAGGGCAATGACCACCACATGTCTGACAATGGTGGGGTTTTTGCAAATGAGCTGGAGGGGCTTCTTCCCTGATCGTGGATGCTTTTATGGAAAGTAGGCAGCCTTATTGACAATTTTGACCTTCATGAATTCAATGGGGACAGCCAACAGAGCTTTGGTTTCACCTTGTTGGTTATAAACCCTAGGCACCTGTCTTAACGGCTGTGTCTGCAACATAGTTGGCAGTGTTTATTCATTGGGTGGCAAGTCGTTGGCTTCTGCATGAAACACGGAGGCAATCCTATGCTGATCCTTCGATAGGCACTTGAACGTGGAGGTCAGGCTCTCCCATAAGAAATGTTGGTATGTGCCCATGCAAGCAGCATAACTGACAATCCTTAGAAAGCTACTGAAAAGAATATTGTTTGGGAATCCCACAGTATCAGGTCTTCTTTCCCCTCAGTGAATGGGGTGGAGGCAGGGTTGATGCTTAGTGACTCCACTATGATGGAATTGGAAAGTTGAAAGTGGATGCTTGAAGATGAAGTCAGTATCCTTTTCTTGAATTCAGTATAAGCAGTCTCTGTGTTTAGAAGTGGACAGGACCAAAGATGGGTGTCCAGCAGGATTGCTTTGTCAACGTGCAGCAGGGATGGTAGAAAGGTATCAGAGCTGGCATTACGGAGTACCTAGATTTTTTTGAACAAAGTATTTTTTGGACTTTAGATCTGAAACTGGCTTATAGTGGCTCTTGTATTTCCAACTCTAGCAGAACACCATATAGACAAGGTGCTCTGAAAAGGCTCACATGTTCCTCTGGGGGTGAAGAAGGGCTGGTATCCATTAGCATATCTCATGGTGAAGCTGAAGTGGCATGGTCTAAAGACTGAATGGAATCACAATCATAGTCATCAGAGCCAGAAGGTCTTCAGACAGTCTGCAGGGGACACTAGGCTACCCAACATTACAAGGATCCAGAGCGAGAAAGGTGTGGGGTGGGTACTAACAGGCCCATATTTACTGTAGGGGCTAATGATATCAGTGGGAAATATGGTATGGATGGAAAGGCAATGATAATGGAAGATGTTGGCATCAACTGTCATGGTACTCTGGTATCTAGTTGTCTCGTGTGCTCCCAGAGGCATCTGGTGGGGCCACTGTGAGATACAGGAAGCTGGACTAGATGGGCTCTTGGCCTGGTCCAGCAGAGCTCATGTTCTTAGGAAACCAACACATTTTCTCCATTTACACTGATAATAGCGCCTGGTGGGTAAC